AAAAAAAAAATAAATAAATAAAAAAGTAAAGCCATATTAATATGCTAAGCTGTGAAAGGCTCAAGTCAACAAGTTCTGTGGATAACACACTGCTATTGTAGACTGCAGGACTGTGTTGGATTGTTTTGCTGAATTCATACACCTGTAGTATTTAGATGCCAGTGGAGCATCCATTTCTGACAGGACTAAGCAAAAAAGGGGATACAAAGGAAGGATCATTTTGTATCTGTATATGCAGAATAGTTAGAATAGATATACAGCTACTTTCTCTTAATTCACTGAAAAGAAAGATTTGTACTAATAGTGTTTGGACAGGACATTCTGTCTATATCTTGTACTATGGATAACCACTAAGAAGATAATAATGTACAACATATTAATTATTGAAACTGTCCTATTAATCAGTTTTGAAATTGTCTCACTGATATTTTTTCTAATAAGATAAAATAAAGAAATAGGCAAGGTTCAAGAAGATTTAAAAGAATAGGTATGTTCTAACAGATTTAAGGCCTTGGTGAAGTTCTTCAGTATACCCATAGTGTGAGCGAGACACACTATTTATGCCACAATGTTAATAATAAAGAAAAAAGTACTACCACTGTTCATTATCAGGAAAACAGATATAAAATATAAAAGATGATATGCACAGAATAGAATAGTATACAGTGGTTAAGATGATTTATCTAGATTAACATGCATTAGCATGAATAAATCTCAAAAATAATGTTGATTATAAAAAGCAAGATAGACATAGTCATAATATTTACATACATTTAACACATTCATGTATTCATGTATGGATATATAATATATGTAAAATTCACATGTTGATGCACTTTTAAATTATAGAAAACTTGCAAAGTTCAGAGTTCCATGTATCCATTACAAAATTCCTCCTAACCAGAATACATTACATAACTGAGGTACATTTATCTAAGGACTAATGTATATATTTTATTCAGATATTAGTGGTTTTTCCAGATACATCATTTTTTTCATTCCAGGACTTAATTTGTTTCATTTTTCAGAATATCTCTTCCAGTTTACACATTTCAACTACATCCTTTACTGTTTAAATGAAGATGTCAAGATACAAAAATCCTCAGAAAAAGTTTGCTTTTCTGAGGGCTGATGTGTGTGTACCTTTATTTAAAAATGGCCACTTGCTAATTTTGTAAAAAACAAAACAAAGCAAACATGTGCAAAGCACAGCAAGTGCACCCAGAAGGTGAAAATCCCAAGCACTGAGCCCCTCAGGCCACACGCACAACTCTAACACACGCTTGTGAGAGACGTACCTCTTGTCTCTTCCTTTCTTCCTGGCTTACTGTCTGAGACAACCCATTTCTCTTCACCTAGAAAAAACAAATAGAGTCAAACCCATTTACTTTGACAGTTTTTTT